GTCCAGAGCATTAATTCACAATGCGACACCAGGACTATACAGATAGGGCTCCCAAGAAATGGCTGATGAGTATGAACTGCTGACCTTGTGGTTCAAATTGACCTTATGGCTGAGTGATTATCCTATAGTGCCACACCGAGACTCCAATCCAGAATACACCCTAAAAGCAGCCATAAAGAAAAAAAAAAAAACCACGTTATCTAAAATGGACCAGAAAAAGGGCCAACTGCTGGCTTTTCAACTTTAGCAGCAGAAGCAGAAGATGGTGAAACAATACCTTGAAGTATTACTATTACCTTAAAAGTAATATAATAATAATAAAAAGAGATGATTGAAGGAAAGGTATTTCCAGACAACTGAAAACCCCATTATTGCTAAACTAAATAAGACATTTGAAGAGCCTCAGAAGTGCTCTAGAGTGAAAGTGATGTTGTTGTTGTTAGGTGCCACCAAGTTAGTACCAACTCATAGCGACCTTATGTACAACAGAGCGAAACACTGCCCGATCTAGGAGATCCAAATTAGTGAGATTAATCTCATGGATATATTTATCTCTCTCTTTTCTCTTATATCTTTAGCTATTGTTACTGGTGAGTTTGAACTACTGACCTTGTGGTTAGCAGTTCGGTGCTTATACTATAGCACCACAGCAGGACTCCATCTATAGCTATATTCCTATCTATAACTCTTATTTAACATTTAAGAATATGTATTCTTTACAGGCCTACATAGACCTCTTGAAAAGTGACCACATTGCTAAGTATAAAGAAAGTTTCAATAATTAAAAAAAAACAGATACGAAAAATAATTTTAAAAAAGAAAGAAAGCACCCATGAAGGTGTTCAAAGACCCTGTGCTTACGCTGCAGTTCTGGGTGTTCCCTTCTGTATGCCATATGTGATAGTTACAATCTCTCAGGCTGTGCCCAACTGAAAGCTTGAATCCCCAGGGCTTCCTCTTCCCCTGCTTCAAGCACCAACTAGCTGCTTTTGCTCCACTGACCCCTTCCTGAACTTCAGGCCTACCTTCCATAACTTCCATGGGAACACAGCCCCAGGATACAGGACAAGGGATGGGAATTGCAAGGGTTTATTTTCAAAGTTTGGAGGTCTTGACTCCCTCACTCCATGGGCTCCTAGCTTCTTTGGGTGCACCAAAAGTTGTGGTGTTCTACAGCTGGATCAAAATATCATGAACTGCCTTTGTAACTGGATGAATGATTGGCCCAATGAGTGCTCTTGTCAGCCTAGTGGGCAGTTAGTAATGGTAAGCTTAGAGTTCTGTTTGGTCTTGCTCAATTTATATCAGTGTAGATGTGGTTGTTGGGGACATTATGCTTATTAGTATATGTAGTTGGGAGACAGATCATGGCTCAACATGTTGGACCAATGGACCAAACTGAGTGGGGAGAAATTAATAGGTATAAATGTGAGTCCCTGCTCTTAAGCCCCATGTCTATTAATACTCATGCAGAATAAGGTTGGCTGAGTGTAACTGAGAGAATGCAGGCCTATTAGACAATGACAGTTTAGTATAAAACTAGGGGTGTGATGTGGCCCTCAAAAGCTAATCCTGTTCGATTGTATTAACAGAGACATAGGTTACAGAATGAAAGAGTTGAGTTTTACTCTCTGATAGTTAAGGTTTTGGCTTGACCAATTCTCAGTGTTATAGCAGTTGGCCTGGGTTCTCAGTGGTGTAGCAGTTAGGATGTGGTAATCACCTCCATGATGAGATTTCATATGATACAAACCCCTCTGTGTCGTATTCTGATGTGATCAGCTCTGATCTGATGTAATTATCCTCACTTCTATGATGAAATCTATAGGATTAGGTTGTATCTTGAGTCAACTCTTTTGACATATAAAAGAAGAGAGAAGTGAGCTGAGCTCAGAGGGAACTACTATCACCAAGACAGAAGAACTGTTAGTGGAATGCATCTTTTGGACTTGGAGATCCTGTACTGTGAAGTTCCTGGAACCTAGGGAAGATTGATGTCAAGATGTATGGAGATCAAGGGATACTGGGCCTATAGATGCTGAAGGGAGACAAAGATCTTTCATCAGAATCAACAAACAGAAAGTACTAAGAATTTGGGTTGAATTTTAAACTATGAGAGAATAAATTTCTGGTTGTTGAAGCCATCCACCTGTTACATTTGCGTTATAGCAGCACTAGATAACAAACCCATTCACTGTGCTGGCCAGTCTTCAATATGATGTTTAGTTCTTTAGGATGGACATTTGCAAACTGCAATACCAGTGAAGGACAATCAGGATAGCAAAACAACTTATAATCTGTTTGTATAAATATTGGTTGTAGTGCTTTAGTTTGAAGAGGAAAGACGTGGTGGAGTCGTGAAAGCTAAGAGCATTTAAAGGGTTTTCTGGTGGAAGAGTGGTTTGACCCATTCTTTGTGCTTCTAAAGCAGCACCATCTGATAGAACTTTCTCCAACGATGGAAATATTTTATATCAGTGTTGTTAATAGCAACTAGATGTATATGGTTTTTGAGCACTTGCATTGTGTCTAGGGATTGAATGTTTAATTCAAATGTAATTAATTTCAACTAAACTTTAAATGACCATATGTGGCTATTGTTGTTAAGTGCCATTGAGTCAGTTCCAACTCACAGCAGCTCCGTATGAGGTTTCCGAGGAGCAACTGGTGAGCTTGAACTGCCAACCTAGTGGTTCAAACTGACCTTGTGGTCCACAGCATCACACCAGGACATCTATGTAGCTAGTGGGCATCATATTGGACGAGGCAGCTCTTGTTGTTACATGCCGTTAAGGTCCTGACTCATAGCAACCCTACATAGGGTTTCCAAGGAGTGCTTCTCAAGGGTAAATAAAGGACTAGATCAGGTTTTTATTCATTTATTTATATTTTTTTCTGGGGAGTGGGGAGGACCAGATAGTAAACATCTCAGTCTTTACAGGCCATATGGTCTTTATTGCAACTACTCACTTTAGCTGTTGTATTACGAAGCAGCCAAAGACAGTATGTAAATGAGTGAGCATGGCTGTGTTCCAATAAAACTTTATTTATGGACACTGAAATTTGAATTTCATATCATTTTCACACCTTATGAAATATTCTTTTGATTTTTTTCAACCATTTGAAAATGTAAAAACTAAATCCAGATGCGATTTGGTAATGTTAGCTGTAGTTGGTTGACTGTGGGTAGAGGCTGCAGGGCAGCATGTAGTATTTATTCAATAAAGATAGGTGATGCAGTAATTTGAGGTGGCCAGAAATGGAATGAGCATCCTCAGTGAATGGTGAGTTTCCTATTACTATGTTGTTGTTGTTGTTATGTGCCGTGGAGTCGGTTCCGACTCATAGCAACCCTACACAGGGTTTCTGAGGCTGTAAATCTTTACGGGAGCAGAAAGCCTCATCTTTCTTCCACGGAACAGCTGGTAGTTTCGAACTGCTGACCTTGAGGCTCGCAGTTCAATTCGTAACCACTATGCTACCCGAGCTCCTGTACTATAGTAGATCTTAATAATGACCTACCTGACAAGGGGTGATATATTAATGTGTCCATTTAATACAAGTCATAAGAGCGTTTTCCTCTAACTCTTGTGGTGGTGGTGGTGGTGGTTGTGTGCCATGATGTTAGTTTCAACTCATAGGGAGCTTGCATAGAGGTCTCAGAGGCTGTAAATCTTTACAGGAGTAGAAAGCCTCATGTTTCTCCAGTGGAGCTAACCTTAAGGTCAGTAGCTCAACTCATAATCCGCTATACTTCCAGACCTAGAGAGTTCTAACACTGGAAGTACACTGAAATCAGGATGACATACGACAGCTTTACAATTAGCTTACTTTTGTAGAGGGTTATTGTTGTTGTTGTTAAGTGCCGTCAAGTTTTGGTACTTACTCTGTTGCTGGAACTGGATTGTACAGGGGGTGGTGTGCTGGCTGCATTGCTTCAGCAGGTCTGCTACATGTTCAGGGATGTGTGTTAGTAGAGGGAGTTGGCTACGTCCACTTATGTGCTGCCCAGGAGAGACAAGTTGATGGCACCCAAGAACCCCTTAAGCGAGGATACTCTACTGGCCAAATACCACCTTGTTTGCCTTTCAGTCCTGGGGTTAGGAGTGGGCTTACGATCCTTCATTCTTCCCTTAGTTTTGTCTGTGGTTGTGCCATCATTTCTGTGGCTGGAGAAGATCACTTACAACATTATCCCTCAATTGGGGAAACCATTGCTTTCAGGGAGCTGTGAGTTTCGTTCCAGAATAAACTGCCACGTAGTAACTGTTTAGGAGCTAAGTGTCTGGTCTGTGGACATGTGAGATCTGGTTCTTCTTCTTCTTAACTCAGCTTACGTTTTTCCATTTAACCTTTCTTTTGTTTGGCTTCTGTCCACTTTACCTCCAATCAACATCTCTGCCAGAATGAACAACAAAAGAAATATCATAAACAGCCCTTGCAGTAAAGAGAGAAGCCAAAATTGCTGGTTTGAAGCTTTAAAATATTTTTGCTTATATCCAAGCTACACAAAGCATAGTGACACAGTGGTTAAAGCACGTGATCCTTAACTGAACGGTCAGTGGTTTGAATCCACCAGCTGCTTCACAGGAGAAAGATGTAGCAGTCTATTTCCGTGAAAATTACCTCCTTGGGGCAGTCTACCCTTCCCTGTAGAGTCACCATGAGTTGGAATTGAGTTCATGGCATTGGGTTTAGTTTTTGATTATCTAAACCTCAGCCCCTTATCATGACAAAAGATTTTTCTCTACATCTTTGTTAAGCACAGGTGGCTTTAAAAAGCTTTTTATTTTCGACATATTTAAGGTCATACCAAAGCAGTATAGTCCACCCCATGTACCCATCACCAGCTTCGGCAGTGATCCTGCCTGGCCAAGCTTGTATCATCTATTCCTCTTCCTCCCAACTTTATTAGCTTGAAGTAGATTTACAGGAAGCTTTGGACAGGGTGTATCACTTCATCTTTACACTAACATCTCACTATGCACATTCCATTTCAGATAATTGCCTTTGATGAGTTAAGAACGGATTTTAAGAGCCCGATAGACCAGTGCAACCCTGTTCATGCGGTAAGTGTGGGTGCTGGGGACCGGTAGGGTGATGTCACCATGTGTCACCCAGGGTCTGGGAAGGAGGGCAAGGATTTTGACAAAGAGTAAAGGGAAAGAACATATCTTAACTCTCTACTTGGCATGAGGAGACTTCTCATTCCTTTTTTTTTAACTTTTTGTTGTGAATTAGGTGAAGGTTAACAGAGCAAACCAATTTTCTATAAACTTCTGATTTCTGGGGCCTGCTAAGGTTTGGGTTATGTTGCAATTCAAGTATGCAGAGCCCCAATAAGTCAGTTGGTTAGGGACTGTGGGACTGGCTGTCAAGTCCTCTCAGTAGCTCATCCTGGAACAAGGAGAGTGGCTCCATGTTGACTTACATGTTTTTGAGACCTGTGAGCTCACGAGTCGTCCTCCTCACTCTATGTGTGGGCACCAGGATTTCTCAGATGGAGACTCGGAGGGAGGATCAAGTGATATACGAAGCTCCCAGCCCAGTGCATTCATCTGCACAATATCCATTGCTCAGCGTGCATTCATCTTAGATGGTCCTGTGGTCCTGTGGCTAGGTTGACTCCCACTGAGGTCTTGGATGCAGTCTAGTAGTCCTATACCAGGTTCAGTATATGGAAGACCACCTGCCTCAGCACATGCTGCTCTCTAGTACTCCATCATGCTCCTCCCCAATCCAAACTCTTAAAGAGACAACAGAGAGGAAATGGTAAGAACGTAGGCTTCCACTGCACTGCTCTGCCTGGGCTGTGCCTCTAATTGGGAGCCTCTGAAAGGCTGTAGAAGAGACCTTGAGGCAGGGAGAGGATAAGGACACAGCCTTTGTTGGGTAGGTGTGAGTGCTGTCAAGGTAACCCATGTCCTAGAGTCAGACATCAGCCATGCATGTGGGCAGAGAATTTTGTAAACTTATTCCAGGCCGGCATTCTAGGTTCAAGGTGAACCATGCACAGTTCATGTGAGCGTGTTTCTCAGTCTAACCTCACTGGCCCTGCATTTAGTTGAAGGTCATTCCAGGCCATGGTATCCAGTGTAAAGGCAAGTTTTTGTCTGTTGAGTAGCTTTGTTGTGATTTTTCTGTACAAGGTTGTAGAAAGTACACCAGATTGTACTCACATGCTGTTATCTTAACCTGGAAGGCTTATGACATTATTCTTTCATAATAGGGACTAGATCCAGGCCCCTGGAAGAAGAATTTACTTTTAAGGAGGTAACAAAACCATTGTGTGGGACCAGGCCTCAGTATCCTTTCGGGAAAGAAGGTCGTGCTGTTGTTAAATACCTTTGAGTTGGTTCTGACTCAGCCACCCTGTAGGGGATTTCTTTTTTTAAGGCTGGAAATCTTTATGGGAGCAGAAAGCCTCATCTTCTGGTCTCAGCACAGCTGGTGGGGTCAAACCTGAGACTTTGTGGTTTGCAGTCCAATGTTTTTCTTACAGAGCGACCAGCACACTAGAAAGTAGATGGGGAGGGTTATTACTGAAATTGTAATTTTTGAGTTTACTATGTTCTGATGTGGCACTGTGGGATAATGCACTGGACTGCAAGGTTGGTTTGAACTGCAAGGTCAGTGGCTCAATTCACCAGTTGTTTCTCAGAAACCCTATATAGGGTCACTATGAGTCAGAACTGACTTGACGACACTTAACAACAACAATTATGTGCTAGTAACTGGAGTCCTGGTGTGATGCTGTTGGATAAAGCATTGTACTGCAAGGTCGGCTTGAACCCCAAGGCCAGTGGTTCAAACCCATCAACTGTTCCTCAGAAACCCTATGCTATGTGTCAGAACCAGCTCGATTGCACTTAACAACAACAAGAAGGTACTTTATGGAGTCCCTGGGTGGCACTAATGGCTAAGTGTCTGAAAGCTTGATGATTCAAACCCACCTAGAGGCTCCTTGAAAGACAGGTTAGGTGATCTGCTTCCAAAAGATCCCAGCATCGAAAACCCTATAGAGCAACTTTACTCTGCACACATAGGGCCACTATAAGTCAGAATTGATTCAATGGCAGCTAACAGCAATAGCAAGGAACTTTATATACATAATATATAATCTTGACCATAGCATTAATCCAATTTATAGACCATACAACTGAGTCTCTTTTCCGGGAGACCCATAGATCATGAGTGGTGAAGCCAGGATTTGAGCCCAGGTCTGCCTGTCTCCAAAGCCTGCGTTCTTACCACTTACTCTATGTTGTCTCCTTAAGAGGCTTGATTCCATAATACTTGAGGCTCCCTTGGGCATTATGCTCTTTGATTCACTGAAATGCGCCAAACTCCTATGAAATGGAGCCGACTCTCAGTTGCATGTTGAGATTCACTTGAAAATTTATTACGCTTTGTGAAACTTACTACAATCCATTTTATTTCCAGCTACTTTTGATAACTTGGATCTGTAAGGCCTGAAGGGTTTCACCTCACATCTCATTTCATTATGGATATTTTTGTGTGTGGCACGAACATGACACATCTGGCTTGTCACTATCTACCAGGTGCACAAAGCCGCTTCAGTTTGAGAACCAACTTCCCTTTTTGAATGCTAGGGAAGTCAAATCTGCTTTCCTTCATTCCAGTTGTAGGCTCAAATTGTGGAAAGTAACCCACTTAGAACAGCCAGAGCATTCTTATATGGTCCCAGGGTAAAAACTGGGAGAGAAATTTGTCCTGCCACTCAATCCAGTCACCCAAATTCCACCCTGGATTGCAGGGGAGTGATATAACCATGAGATATCTTTGTGCAGCTAGTTTCCATCTCATCGTGGCAAACCCTTAGTTTAGACAAAGAAAGTGATGACCTATTGCAAGCTTCGGGAGGAGGCTCTGTGGACAGGTATTGCAAGAACCACTTGTGCCAAGCAGACACTCAGTAAGCTTCTGTTGATGAAAGAATGCATGAATGTGGAAGGGCGAAGTTGTGTAGCATAGAAGCTGGATCTCAGCCCTGTTTTTACTCCTAAACTGTATTTTTAAATAGCTAACTATTGAGGGAACCTGGACTTTATGACACCTGGATATTTTTCATGGATACGGTAAAACTCCTTGATACCCTTGGGGAAAGAACTCTTGTCTGGGGTTGAAAAACAACATTACACAACTATGACCACATAAAAACCCCAAATGGAAGAGTTTTAGATCTATTTTCCCAGCTCTAATAGTATTGCTCCATGGCAGGTGGTTAACCTCACCTAACACATCCTCAAGCTCTCTCCGTCTCTGCAGAGCCCTGGGTGCAGTATTCCAGGTTCAGGTGGCATGAAAAAGTTACTTCCCTGGGTGATGACTCAGGCTGTCATAAAGCATTGCCAGTGGATATGCTACATTTCTAAACAGATATGAATGGGGCCTGCTGGCTCTGTAGATTCAAGACGCCCTTGTTGCTGTTTCTTCTAGTTGATTCTGACTCATAGTGACCTTATGCACAACAGAACAAAACACTGCGCCATCCTCACAATCGTTGTTAAGCTTAAGTTCATTGCTGCTGCCAACTCGTTGGGGGTCTTCCTCTTTTTGTCTGGCCCTCCATTTTATCTAGCATGATGTCCTTCTCCGGGGATTGGTCCCTCCTGATAATATGTCTGAAGTATGAGAGATAAAGTCTCGCCATTCTGGCTTCCAAGGAGCATTCTGGGTGTACTTCTGCCAACACAGACTTGTTGGTTCTTTTTGCAGTCTATGGTGCTTTTAATAATCTCCAACACCATAACTCAGATTCAGCAATTCTTCTATCATCTTCCTTATTCACTGTCCAACTTTCATATCCATATGAAGCTATTGAAAATACCGTAGCTTCAGCCAGGCACACTTTAGTCCTCAAATTATCCTCTAAAGTTCCAAATCCTGTTGGACCAGGAGGAGGAGGGATTGCTCCCGTGTTTCTTGTGTGAATCCCTTCCCCTTCCTTTTGCCATCTGGGCCTTCAGTATCACTTTAAAGGAGTGAGAGATGTTATCCTTCAGAGGATGTGGCCCACTGGGGAAGGAGCTACTGTATGTCTTGTAGCGCCCTCCTTCATGCCCAATATTTCACATCCATTTTAGTTACCCTCCATTTAGACAGCCTCCAAGCTCAGCTCTGTGTGTGCACATGTGTTTCTCTCTGCATGTATTTGCATGTTCATACTCACATGCTTTGTTTGTATGCCTGTGTGTATGTGTATCATGTGTGCACATGTGTTGGGGAGGATGCAGTCTGTCTTTCTAGCATCATGGACACTGATATGTCCTGATGTGGGCTACTTCCTCTGGGTTTCAGAGATGTCTGGGAATCACAGTATTTATGATTCAATTAGGGAAATTGAAGTGCCTCAGCCACCTGTCCTCTTCAGATTCAGGAGGAATCTCATTACCATTAAATAGATGGTAACCAAACTGCCTGGATAATGAAACACTGGAGGTTGCATAGCTGTGCTCAACATGGCTCTGGAAATGGTGAGCGTCACTGCAGGGGAAGGGAGGTATCAACCGCTCACTGCTCATGGGGAACACCTTCACTGGCCTAGCCTCACTTGGCAGGAAGCCAGGCTCCAGGGATGGACCTGGATTTTCTGAAAAATTTCAGCCTGAGGGGACTCTCGTTGCAATCTAATTTAGTGGGACAAGTGCTGCCTCCAAATACACTTATTTTAGAAAAATAAAACCACCAGGCTGAGAACTTGTCTTCCTTAGACACTAATCAGCAAGCACAATGTTTTGTTTTTTAAAGTTTTTATTGTGAATTGAATGAAAGTTTACAGGGCAGATCATCAGTTTTACATTCAACAAATCATACACCTTGTTTCATTACAAGGATTATAATCCCTTCCATATACCATCAGTTAACAGTATTTCTTTCTATTCATTTTAGCTCTCTCTTTTTTTTAAAACACTGAGGCATATATAATAATTCAAACCACCAGAAGGCACATTCTGCCTCCAGGCCACCAGCTCTCAGTCCCTCTTTTTCCATGAATCTAGCTAGAGTCCTCAGCTGCTCCGTCCCTCTATGCCCCCATCTCTGCCTCCATCTCTGGTGTCACTGCTTCTCTGGATAAGGTTCCATGTTCCGCTTGTGCTCTTCTCCCTTGATGGCCCTAGGGGCCTCTGTTTCTGGACTGTAAAATTAATCGTTCCCCTTTTTTTTTGTTACAAAATTTCTACCTTTACAATTGTGACAGTCACAATTGGTCATGATAACAATTATTCACTGCTGAATCATTAAGAATCTTACCCCCATCTCTTTTCACCAGACCCATCTAGACAAGATGAAAACTATTCAGTGAGAACTCTATGTTCCCCTGCAAACTCTTAAACTCCTTCTTGAAAACTTGTAAGCCAGTCACTTTGTGCCTTTATCACCCCCTCATTTTAGATAGCCAATGTCTAAGTTGCCCATCCCTATCTACCCTGTATACAGAGGAGATAGCATTGATACTTGGTGTGAAGACTCCTTCCCTCTCTGTTGGTATTTTGAGCTACTACCTCCAAGAGTATAGGGCAAGTTCATCAAATTATAGCAATCTTCACTCATTTCCTTTATAAAAAATTGTGTGTATATGTGTGTTTTTTTTATCTTCCTCTAGTCGAGTTCTGATTATCGAGCCATTGAGGCTAGGTCAACTATCTGCCAAGTTTGGGTGTTCTTGTGTGTCTCCCTTCACTTCGTATCTGCTGGATGCTTCACTCTCCACGGCTATGTCCTTGTCCATGGGCTCAGGTGTCCCCAGGTCTCCTCACACTTCAGACCAACCAATCCTTCATCTTCTCTCTCTCATCTCCAGGTCAATGGGAGTCTATTGAATGTGGTTGAACTCAGCCCATGTCTTCATTGCTGCTGTTCCCCCACTTACACTCAACAGTAGACCACTGTGGTCGCCAGCAAGCTTACATGCCTGCTGATGTATTCCCTTGGAATTTCTGGCGCACAATGTTCTTTGAGACTCAGATGACAAGTCTTTCTGGAGGAGTCCACTGTGGGCTTCAGGAAGGTCGATGAGCATGTGGCGCCAATTATGCAGTTTTTGTCCATGTTATGCTTCCCCTGAGGGACACCCAGGTTTGATTCCTGGCCAGTGCACCTTATGTGCAGCCATTGTGGCCTGTCAATGGAGGCTTGTGTTGCTATGATGCTGAAGAAGTTTTTGTGAAGCTTCCAGACTTAGACAGATAAGGTAGAAAGGTTTGGCAATCTACTTTCCAAAAGTCAGCCGATGAAAACTTTGTGGGTCACAAGGGTCTGATCTGTATCCAATAATAGGGATGGTGCAGGACCAGATAGCATTTCATTTTGTCACCATGAGTCAGGGGCTGCTCAACAGTAACTAAAAACAACAACAAAAACTTAAATACTGGAAGGCTGAGAGATTGTGTGTATGCAGAAGTACAGCAATTTATGCTGAGCCCGCTCTGTTTGCTGGATTATTCTGATATAACCCAGTGACTACGACAAGTGGAGTTTAAGGAAAAGCCCTAAGTAGGGGTGTGTGGCTGTGTGCAGTGTACCTCCTGCACTGGGGGCTGCATGTGGGGTGTCTCACACTCCTTTAGCAAAGCCACTAACCTTCCCTCTCCTCTCTCTCTCTTGTGCACATCTGGCAGAGGGAACGGCTGAGGAACATTGAACGCATCTGCTTCCTTCTGCGAAAGGTCAGTGCAAGAGCTCCTGATGGGAGGTGGAGGGTCCTGGGAGAGGTAATCACAGTCTAAAGAGGTTGTTGAGCCCCAGTGCCTGTCTCCCAGGGAAGGTGAATAGTGGTGAGGTGGGAGTCAATGGATCAGCTCTTTGGAAACCTCTAGAGACTAGAGGAGCTAATTAAAAGGGGGAGGCCATCAATCATAGTGTCTGGCAGCACTGGGCATTTACAAGGGCCCTCTGGTTGGCTTTAGAGGTCTTTTATCTTGCATGGTGATGGATGCAGCTGGTGTGGCCTCACCCCCCTTGGTCCCTCTGGTGCTCCATTCAAGAGCACTCCCTCTACATGCAGGGACATTTAAAAATGGATGCTGGGTTTCCTTGGAGGTTTGATTAGCAGCATCAGGACACGTGTTGAAGGGTTTGTGGGGAAGGGGGAGCAGAGCCATTTGAAGGGTTGCTCTGAATAGATAGGCCTTGGGTCACAGCAACCTGACATTCATTCAGGGAAGCACTTGTCTGTAGCTTAGCTTGGTATTTTGACATGTATTGCTGTGCCCCCACCCCCTGCAGTCAGCAAAGTGTGTGCTTTGAGGGGCAAAGTGTAGAAAAGCACAACTTACAGGAAAAATAAGCAGAAAGCCACCTGTTAACCCAAAAGGAGATCCCCCCCCAATGGGTTTGTATACATTGTAAAAATTACAAGCAACAATTTATGATGGAATTAAAACAGCTGAAAGTAGAGTTTTGAGTCTTGCGTGCCTACAAGATGAACGATATGCTATGCCAACATACACAGTAGAGAAAATATGTTTTTGCAAAATTTTGACCTTTTATTTCATTATTTCAGTAATAATACCTTTCATTGGGAGTGAGAGCTTAATCAAGAATTGATGATGATAATTATTTTTTTCTAACTAATTACTTGTCCTTGAATGTTTTCTAAGAAACCCAGCAGTTTAGAATTCCACATCTTGGATTTCACAGCAGGGAAGTGTGCTTGGATGAGACTTGCATATAAAAATGATTGTGATCCAAGGAACAAACAATGACTAAGAAAATGACATATGACATTAGGTATTAAGGGTAATTCATGGATTTGTAAATTGTTTTCACAGATAATATTTTAGACACGTAATCTACCCCTATTATCTCTTCCACAGCCCTGGTTTGCTAAGACTTCGTGAACTAGGACAAAAGTAAATCAGGTTTTTCTTTCAAATTCCAAATTGTTCTCCCCTCCCCATTCTTTGTATTTATTTATTTTTAAATGTGGTGCTGTAGGATAAGCACTGGACTGCAAGGTCAGTTTGAACTGCAAGGTCAGTGGTTCAAATCCACCAGCTGCTCCTCGGAAACCCTATACAGGGTAACTGTAAATAGAAACCAACTTGATGATACTAAATAATAACAATACCAACAGCAGGATAAGCACTGGACTGCTAACCACAAGGTCGGCAGTTCAAACCCACCAGTTGCTCCTTGGATGCCCTGTACAGTGTTGCTATGATGGCACTTAACAACAACAAGGTCAATGTACTGTCAGAAGCCTTGGTGGCACAGTGGTTAAAGTGCTTTGCTGCCAACTGAAAAGTCAGTGGTTTGAATTTACTATTGGAGCTCCATGGGTAAAAGATGTGCCAGTCTACTCTCACAGAATTCCTATGGGGGCAGTTCTACTGTGTCCTGGAGGATCACTGTGAGTCAGATTCCACTCAACAGCAATGGGCAATGTACCATGGGAAGTTCTTGGGAGGAAACTTGAAGACAGATATCAAAGGACAGGAAATACTGATTTCAAGACTGTGGGTGTTCACACATTCTACAGCCCAGTAGTTTTCTAGCTCCCAAGGGGGCTGCACTGGTGTGACAAGCATCCATTAGTAAACTTGAGGCAGAAACAAGCCTTGTCCTTTATTTCCTTGTAGAATCTTCCTCTTGTTCCAATTCTCTTCCTGCAAGCACATCTATTCTTTTAACATTTGACGCGATTAGTTCTTTGCTGCTGTTCCTGCATGCTGTGGGTCCCTGTAGTACTTTTTGTTGATGGAAGCATTATTTATTTCTGGTTATAATTCCAAATTATTGACTCTCCTGAGAGTCTCGACAGTGAGGTCTTGCTGTACCTCACAGGTTCTTTAGCTTAATTTGGTAAGTCTCTGTATATCCAAAGATCCATTTACGTACTGGGCATGTAGTTTTGTCTACTCCCAGTAGACTATACGTTCTGGAAGGACTCAACTTTGATCTGTTCATTATCACATCCAGTTGATGGTGTACAAAAAATATAAGTGAATAAGTGAATGAAAGGATGCATTCTAACTATCTGATACATTTATAATCTAGATCCTCTTATTGGGATACTGGGATAGGACACTGGGATAATCAATAATCTTTGTTCAGTCAAGTAGTGTCCATGACATAGCACAACATATATATGTCTTACTTCATTTACTACTTGTGCCAGATTTGTCTTTTAAAGTCCACTGCAACTCTGTATGATAGTCATTATTGACACAGAAGTTCTCCAACTTACAGTTTCTCCTAGTCCATTCCTATCCTTTATGCTTATGTTCTCTGACCTATTTTGGTCTGTAATTCAACCTTCAAATATCTTCTCTTAGTAATTCTGGTTTCTTTGATTGGAGACATGGTGTAGGGTATTGATGAAGTACGCAGGTGTCTACTGTTTTCAAATCCTGCCTCTGCCTTTATTAGCTATATAACCTTCAGTATGTGCCTCAGTATGGCTCAGGATTGCGGGTCACAGTAACAGTACCCCATCATTTATTGTTGTTAGGTGCCATTGAGTTGGTACTGACTCACAGCAACCCTATGCACGCCATAATGAAACACTGCCTGGTCCTGGGCTAACCTCACAATTGTTGCCATACTTCAGCCCATTGATGCTGCCACTTTGCCAGTCCATCTCACTGGGGGTCTTCCTCTTTTTCTCTGACCCTCCACCTTGCCAAACATGATATCCTTCTCCAGCGACTAGTCCCTCCTGACAATATGTCTCAAGTATGAGAGACGAAGTTTGGCCATCTTGGCCTCCAAGGAGCACTCTGGCTTAACTTCTTCCAACACAGATCTGTTTGTTCTTTTGGCAGCCCATGGCACTTTCAATATTCTCTTCTGACACCATAACTCAAAAGCATTAATTCTTCTACGGTCTTCCTTATTTACTGTCCAACTTTCTCATGTATATGAAGTTATTGAAAATACCATGTCTTGGGTCAGGCGTACCTTAATCCTCAAGCTGACATCTTTGCTCTTCAATACTTTAAAAAGGTCTTGTGCAGCAGATTTGCCTAATACAATACATCGTTTGATTTTTTGACTGCTGCTTCCATGACTGTTGATGGTTGATTCAAGTAAAATGAAGTCTTGGACAACTTCAATCTTTTCTCCATTGATAAGAATGTTGTTTATTGGTTCCGTTGTGAGGATTTTTGTTTTCTTTACATTGAGATGCAATCCATACCGAAGGCTATAGTCTTTGATCTTTATCACCCCATCATAAACTTTTGAAAATTAAATGAGATAACACATGTCCATCTAACTTGCAAGTGTTCAATGTATATTAAATATTATCACATACTATCCTCATTAAAGGAGCCCTGGTAACATAGGAGCTACGAGTTGGGCTGCTAACTGCAAGACAGTTCTAATCTACCAGCTGCTCCATGGGAGAAAACTGAGGCTATCTGTTCCAGTACAGATTTACAGCCTTGAAACCCTATACAGGATCGCTGTGAGTAGGACCCAACTCCAGGCACATAACCACCCCCACCAGCCTTCTTACTATGTTTAAAAACCTCATTGCCATCAAGTCCATTCCTTCATGTTATTATTGTTAGGTGCCGTCGAGTTGGTACTGACCCATAGCGACCTTATGCACAGCAGAATGAAACACAGCCTGATCCTGGGCCAACCTCACTACTGTTGCCACGCTTGAGTCCATTGATGCTGCCACTTTGCCAATCCATGTCATTGGGGGTCTTCCTCTTTTTTCTGAACCTCCATCTTACCAAACATGATATCTTTCTCCAGCGACTGTTCCCTCCTGACAATATGTCCAAAGTATGAGAGACAGAGTTTGGCCATCTTGGCCTCCAAGGAGCACTCTGGCTGCACGTCTTCCAAAACAGATCTATTGGTTCTTTTGGCAGCCCATGGCATTTTCAATATTCTCCTCCAACACCATAACACAAATGCATCAATTCTTCTACGGTCTTCCTTATTCACTGTCCAGCTTTTGCATGCATATGAGGTTATAGAAAATACCATGGCTTAGGTCAGATGCACCTTAGGCTTCAAGCTGACATCTTTGCTCTTCAACACTTTAAAAATGTCATGTGCAGCAGATTTGCCTAATGCAATATGTTGTTTGATTTCTTGACTGCTGCTTCCATGAGTGTTGATAGTTGATCCAAGAAGAATGAAGTCCTTGACAGCTTCAGTCTTTTCTCCATTGATAAGAATGTTGTTTATTGGTCCAGTTGTGAGGATTATTGTTTTCTTTACATTGAGATGTAATCTGTACCGAAGGCTGTGCTCTTTGATCTTCATCGGTAAATGTTTTAAGTCCTCTTCACTTTCAGAAAGCAAGGTTGTGTCATCTGCATATCACAGGGGATTAATGAGTCTTCCTCCAATCCTGATGCCACATTTTTCTTCATAAAACCCAGCTACTCGGATTATTTGCTCAGCTTGAATAAGTATAATGAAAGAATACAACCTTGTCGCATACCTTTCTTAATTTTAAACCATTCAGTGTTCCCATGTTCTGTTCGAACAACTGCCTCTTGGTCCATGTACATAGAATCCAATTCATAGAGACCCACTATTCATAGCAGTTCTGTCCATAGAGACATAGCAGTACTGCTCCCTAGAGTGTTCAGGTTGTAATCTTTATGGAGGAGCCCTGGTGGTGTGGAGATTAAATGCTTGGCTACTAACTGAGAGGTTGGTGGTTTGAACCCACCAGACGCTCAATGGGGGGTAGTTC